ATACACTATAACTAACTAACTTGACTATGGTACTGATCCTATAAGTAGTAGTAATATTACTTTTTAAAGTTTTGATAAATCGATGTAGAAAGAGTAGAGGAACTTTTCTTTTAATCAACATTTTAAAGATCTTCACAAGCTTCACATTCTTAAAGTGTCAAAGTCACAGTTTAAAAAAAACTTCAGATGCAGCTCGCGTAATCGCAAAAGATTAGAAAGAACGCGTTCTAATCTTCGGTCAATCATAGCTTACTGCCAGATTATTGCAAATAAAATGTGGGAGTGATATATTGATGAGGACGAAAACTCGACTGAATGCATTTTCAAGCATACAGATGTGGCTCCATTTTTCTCGGAAAAATATGTTAAAATACTATTTTAGCCACGGTTTTGATTGAAGAAATGATTTAAACCTATTTTTGTTTATAAAAAATATAGTAAACGTGTTCGAGTGGAGATATTGCCATTAAAGATCAATGGGTAATTTTCTTCTTATGCCATTCTTTCTGCATATTTTTTTGCCATTTAATATTTTGCTGTTGTTTATCGTAGGAAATAAAGTAAACGAAAAAACTAACAAGAACTACCGACGTAAGCATGAGAGGTGACACAACATTGTAATATGCTTTGTTTGCTTAAACAGACGTATGATCCACTGAAATATTAGACTGAGGAGGACGACAATGATACCTCACGTGACTGCGCATTATGCATATTAAGCATAGACAAGGGCGCTTCTTTCTTGTAAGCATGTGAACATTTGATAAGCAGCTGATTGGAATGGAATGAAGAAGAAATGAGCGATTTATAATAGTCGCTAGTTCATGGTGCTGTGCTGATCAATTTCATAATCAAAAGGAAAGGGCATCTTAATCGACAAACTTTTAAGTCAGAATGCACTAAACAAACAAATGAATTCAAACCACTAAATCATGTATTGATAACAATAAGAGATATAAATCTGCAGTTGCCGTTTTTTAGTCTCTATGTGATTTCTAGCCTCTATACACGAGTTAGTTTTTCTGCTAGATAGTCATAGAATAAATGAAGTCTCTGAAAAAAACAGGAACGCTTTTTAGAAAGTCAAACGTAAATCCTAAAAAGTAAGTATGTATTTTTCTTGAAGAGATACTTTGCTTTCGATATATTGATTTTGTTTGTTTATTACTCTAACATCAACCTGTCGCTACGAATCTTGGCGATCATTTGGGATAATTTTGTTTTACACTTAAAAGATCGAAATATTTGCTACGATAAACATTGCTGTTGCTATATATGCCCTCTTGTAAATGCTAATTTGCTCACTTCTACAGTTCTTTATTCAATATCAGTTGATTTGCAATATTCTTTGCAACAGTGTTGAATCAATCTTTCATTACACTTCCTTAATTATCCCTGTGCAGGATTTGATATAGATATTTTCTATAATATTAGTATTCTATCTGTTTTTTCAGGGTGGAAGTACTCTAGCAAATAAAGCATCAAGATTTTTTCAAAAGAATGAAGGAACACCTGGTCCAGGAACANGCTCACTTCTACAGTTCTTTATTCAATATCAGTTGATTTGCAATATTCTTTGCAACAGTGTTGAATCAATCTTTCATTACACTTCCTTAATTATCCCTGTGCAGGATTTGATATAGATATTTTCTATAATATTAGTATTCTATCTGTTTTTTCAGGGTGGAAGTACTCTAGCAAATAAAGCATCAAGATTTTTTCAAAAGAATGAAGGAACACCTGGTCCAGGAACATATGAAGTATTGCGTGCTAGTCAATCAGCTACAACAACAGAACGCGATATTGTGAAGGTAAAACGATGTAATCATCAGTTGAGGAAGATCAAGAACTTTTAAACTATCACTAGTTTTACTATGTTCTACTTTTGTAAACTATCACTGTTGTATTAAGCTTGCGAGACAAAATATGCTCAAATACACAAGAAAATCGGTGGCTCCATCCATACCCGATCCAAAATTCGCCTACGGTTTTGAGGAGGATGATCGCGGTGCGTTGGTGCCTCAACAGCCACCTGTCAGAGATGAATCCATGGGTCCAGCATTTTACAATCCTCCGAATGCTGTCAGTATCATAACTACGCAGTATTATTTTAATATGAAACATTTGTTATTGTTTTTTTTCCAAGATGGAAAATGATGCATCAAAAACGTATCATGGAATACATTTTAGTAAATATTCCAGTAAAAGAACAGATTTCGCAGGGAAAACTGGTCCGGGACCTGGCGAGTATGATCCAAATGACCCTGTCAAATTAGAAATTCATCATATCAATATGAAAACATGGGATAAAAGACCGGAATTGAAAATCCCACGGTACCCGGATAATCTATTGAAATTAGCGGCAAAAGAGGTATGTATGGTGTATCTACATGCATTGTTTTCTTGTTAACAACAAAAATTGGTTTCTCTCTGGTTTGCAGAGTATACCAGGACCAGGTCGATATGAAATTAAACGACAATTAGACCCTGAAGCGCCAAAAGGAGACATAATTGGATTAGAATACGAACGACCACCATTCGGATCACAAACAAAAGTAATTAACACGTTCACTGTCCGTGTATTATATATAATTCATTTAATTTTTTATCATGGAGATCGTGCCAGATATGATACATTTGCAAAATTAGAGTAAATATGATTTTTTGTTGTGAACGTGAAACCTGCACAAAAACTGACTATAGAAGCGTGTGAGGGAAGGTTTGAAATATCTATCATATGTACATGAACTCTATGGTAAAAAACTAAATGAATCATATATGATACATGGACAGTGAACGTGTTAAACAATAATACGTTCGTTACAGCACTGTACTACTCTTGCATTTTTTAATTATAAAATACTTTTTAATTTTTTAAGCGTTTTGACATGCCGCTGTCTGATGTTCCCGGGCCAGCTACATACTCTGATAAAGTATTAACGGCATTCAATTCTACATTATCCAAACCCACTAGTCTAAAACGTAATCCATTCAATCAAACATCAGTCAGATTTGATAAAGATTATAAAGCAAGAAGTGCACCAGGTAAATAACACTAAATTTTCTTTCTAAATTAAGTGCGATATGATCAAACTTTTTATCCGTAGGACCGGGACAATATCGTATTGCTGGATTTGCTGATGAAAACTTGCGAAAAGCAGTCGTTGAAGGAGGCAAAAAACCTCCGTTTAACGTTGCATCAATGAGACGTTTTAATTTAACCAAAAAAGATGAATTTTCTACACCAGGACCCGCCCATTATGAAATCAAAACAAAGCCGTTTAAATCAAAAATAGAACATCCGACAGCAAATTTTGTATCATCGACTAATCGTGAACCAGTGATTGAGGTATAATAGAACTCGATAATTTCATAGATAGCTTTTTTTTAATGTTGAAAGGGCATAGTAATAGTGTTTACAGAGAAATAGATTATGATTCGTCTTTTTGAAAATGATTTTATTTATATAGTTTTCATACTAGGACATCCCTGGACCCACAGCGTATGATACAGCCAAAGCCTATACAGCGTTAATATCACATCATCGTCGACCACCACGTTCAAAAAATGCAAGAAAACGACATACACAATTTTTGGCTGCATCAAAGCGAACATTTCCAGGTGGAGAAGTTGAAGTACCAGGTAAATATAGAGCATGTTTAACCGTGTTCTTAGTCAAATATCTTCTATCAAAACCAAAAGCAAGTTTTGAACAAGAGTTCAGAAAAGAATTATTGTTAGAAAAAATATTTTTTTTAGGTCCTGGTGCTTACGATGGTCTAGTAAATGAACATGTGAAAGGATTTGCACCAATGAGAGATTCAAGATTCAGATATAGCGTTCCAAAATTACCCGGTCCTGCTGACTATGAAGTAAATAATTATTGCTTATGGTGTTTATCTATCCGCTCTACGTTTCATCGTCATTATTTATTTTCTTTTAGTTATCACCTCTCTTTCAAGATACTGTATTGCGTGGCACGTTTAATGCCACCCTTAACAATCCTATTCTAGTTAAGTTGCAAACAAAAGCAAGTAAAGAAGAGGCTGCTGGTGGTAATAGTAGCGTAAAAACTCAACCAATGGGAGAGGTTACTGTTGGAGTGTAGTTCAAGTCGCACTGAATAGCTTAAAGTGAGAGCATATGCATTTCTATTCTAATTCTCACCTCACAGATGTTAATTGATCTTTTCATTTTTTATTCTCAAACGTGTACAAAATATTTTTTGATGTCATTTTTCATTTTCGAATAATTTCAAACTTTTATAATAAAACGTTTTTTGTTTATCAAAATCGAACATATCAGCTATTGCATGCAAAACTCAAGAAACCAAAGCTGCATTTTAGTGAATTATTTGAAAAGAGTAATCCAAAAAACCTGAAACTATTGTTTTTGGAGTCTGCTGAACTTCATGAATTCCACAGACAATATGTATGAAAGAAAGACACTATCGTTCGGTAGTTATGCTTTACGCACAAAGTTAGCAATTAAGGACGAGATTGTATGCATCACAAACGTGTTCAGCCTCTTAAAAAGCTCCAAATGGTCTATCTTCAGCCCTTGACGCATCACAACGTCATTACTAAATTACACAACTAACAATGCATATAACGCAACATCAGTAAAATAACAATAATAGATAAAACATTCATATATGTATGTAGAATTTCAGC